GGGGTATAGGAAACATGAGGATTTTGGGGAAGGTGGGTTAAGGAGACTAAAAAATATTTTCCGTAAAAAAAAAATTTACTCACCAATCAAACAAGAGAAAATAAGTGATAAAACCACTCATTCTCCTTGAAAATATTTTCCTTCGTACCAAACACACCCTTTACTTTCAATCTTTTTCTCCTGTGAATTGTGTGAACTAAGATGGAAATTCACCAGCTAGAGAGGAACGACTTAAAAATGTGACGTGCTATGTTTGATTGTGAAGTATGGTCATAACGTTTTTCAAGTTTAAATTTAAAAACGTCTTTAATATATTAGAAGAATTTAAGTTATATATATTGATCGGCAATAGTTTTTTTACAAATTTTGTGTAATCAAACATATTATAACAGGTTAAGTACCATTTATTTTAAGCTACTAATCAATTCTATTAAATAGAGTAAATTGTAATTGCCTTTAAGTGATCTGATTGTACAAATAACATTTGCACCTTCAAGGTGCCATAGAACTTAACCGCTTATTAGTAAGTACTAGACAATCATGGCCATGCTGAGCATGGGCCCAACAATTCTAAAGTTGTCTTTATTTGTTGCGGTAGTCACAAATAAATTGAGTTAATTATAAAGAATATATGTATCAAAGTAATATTTCACTTGATCATCCATTTTATGGATGTTGTTTCTTTTTTTCTTTTTTTTTACTGAAGCAGTCCTTGCACTTCAATTGTGTGGAAAGCATCCTTAAGCTGTATTTTAAACTTTCATACTGCTCAACTCTGTCTACAAAACTCTTCTACCAGTTCATGTTGTTCTACTGCATAAGCTGCTCATATGAGATGCCTATTCATATCACTTTATCTTGACAATTTCACTGATTCTCCCTGACCGACTTCTTGGATGGATTTCATGAATCTGCAAAGCAAAAGATAAAAGTAATGAGAAGGAAAACACGGTGGTATTTGCTCAATTAGAAACCAAAAAAGAGAGAAGAAAATTTATTACTTATTTTTTGTTGGAATTGATACTTACAATTCGTGTTTCTGTCATTATTATTGTCTGGTGGTTTTCAAGCTTTTTGGATATTCTGCTGAAACATACATTTGTTGTTTATTACCACAATATAGCTTTTAACATCATAGAATTGAAATAGGTACAAAATTTCAGTTGGATTTTTGTGTTGAAGAGTTGGCAATCAGTGAGGTCGCGGGGACTGTATCAAAATATAATAAATCTGACACATAATAGCCAGCACTCAGTCGAAGCACACATTGGATATGAACAAGAGATGAGAGATGCAGTTGTTGAGCTGGCAGCATCATAGAAGTTGAACTCAACCTTCAAGAACATAAGTGTGGGGAAATTTTGAAAGAAGAATTTCCAATATAATAATTTATACAAAACACTTGAAGAAGTAACAACAATATGATAGAGAAGAATATTGGCCAGGTCGAAAGAGTCATACATCACAGTATATGCGACCTGTGTAACCAGAATCGGTAAGATGATCGACTTCAATAATAACACAAAGAAAATGTCAAATTTGATCATAATACAAAACTCATCAAGTTCAACTAAAAATTCTACATCAGAAAAAGAAGCAATAATTAAAGCAAACAGTTCAGAATCAAACCAACTCCATCAGTACAAATAACATTTTTGATGAAGCCATCAGTACAAATAGCGTTGGATCAACACCAATAACAAAACACAAAGAACATCATCCTGCAAATACATTTTTATACTTTTCAATCTCAGGACCCACCAACAACAAAATAGTAAGCGCAACATCATGCAAAGTACAGTTTATATTTTGCAATCTCAGAAATCGGTTGCTCTTCAAAAAGAGATCTTATGAAAGAACAAATGCAAAATAGATGTATGCACGAATAATAGAAAGTCAACATAATTATATAAATCGCAAACACTTAAGACCTTTTCTTGATCAATTGTCATCAAACTAAAAATGAAAGAGTACAAAGTTTCTTTCCAATTCATCTGCTAGGGTAGCGTTAATGTTATGAGTTCTTCCAAACCCAGCTCATACTTTTTATTACAAAATTCAGTACAAAAGTACAAATAATATATTTTCAACCCAGTAAGTCAAATGGGATGTGGTAGTCTGGTTGAATGCCGAACTCGAATTCATAAAGTTCAAATCCTAAATCCACCTCTATCATCGACCAAGTCACAAAAAAATAATTGTGTGCATCAAATAAATAAATATTTTCTGGAAAGATACCACATGAGGGTATAACCTAATAAAGAAAAATATTCTCAAAATTAACCGAAATTAATTACTATCCAAATAAATGAAACTGGAGGTTTAAAAAAGGCACAATAATAACAGAACAAAAATGAGCTAGATTAAACAGAGGTGTAAATACCTATACATATACATACATATATATATATATATATATATATATATATATATATATATATATATATNGGTACATAGAATATTAACAGTTAATAAATGTTGAAATATTAATTTTTCAGAAAAGATTTTGACTTTTTAAAGCAGATATGTTCCATTGTAAATTAACAGTATAAAAAACTAAAAAATAAAAGAGTCTATCTATTGAAGTATTTTATAATAGGAATCTGATCATTCAAAGACTTTGTGAAAAGAAATTGATGGACATGTATTGAAAAGTTACTTTTCAAATTCTACTATCACTACGAGACTCCCTTAAAGATGGTGTCTTTTTAAATAAGATAACATGAGAATTTCACAATCACACTTCCAATGTCACTGTTAAAGTTCCTTCTTATTTCAATATCACAGATTGGACAACAAATCCATCATGCTGCAACAAACCCCAACTACAGGCAGATCAAAATGAAGGCATAAACAAATGAATGAATGCTTTGGAAGTTAATTATATCTGAAAGTCCTGCATAAGTTTCACACTTGATCAGTTGAGTTTTTCTTTCTTCAGTTAAAAAGTCTAAAGTAAGAAAAATTTTGGAAAGCAACTATCTCTTAATATGGTTACAGTGTTGTTTGTTTACTGATGATGAATTTATAATGTTTAAAAACAGTAGAACTCTTGTACCAACTCATATATGAGAGTGAAAAATTTTAATATCAATGGACACTTGACAAAGCTCACAAACAAAATTGATATAAGCAGAAGGAGAAAAAACAAACACCTTGTGGGGGTCTCACTTGGGCACAAACAATGACACACGTAGCCATTTGGGAAGAATGTTATTATATTGTGGTGCTTACTTTTCGATGCCACGATATCCAAAGTTTTACCTTCCGATGCCTCGATAACGAAAGTTAAAAAATCAAATAAGATTTTTCTTTGGAAATCAATCCCATACAATTTTTCAATTTTAGCGACCACATGAGTTTTGTTAGAAGTGTAGCAACTTAATCAGTAGAAGATGTAATCAAAATTTTGATCATAATATATTTACAAACCCAAAGAAAGACCTTTCAGTACTTTATTCCAGAACCGACAGAACAACAAAAAATTTTATTGACATATTCTCAATAAAGACTGACAAAGAGGAAGCAATAGCAGGCTGGCTAACTAAAAGCAAAGCTGGCAAAGACATAGCAGGCTGGCTAACGAAAATCAAAGCTGGCAAAGAGAAAAAAATTTGATCTAGCAAACAATTGGTGATTTCTTACACTTATCGTGTTTATTTCTTATTTCATTTCTTTCTTTGACTTAGTATGAACATTATTCCCCTTCTTCTCCCAAACATTCGTAAAATTTTAATTATCAAAATACGACGAAATCCATAAAACTCATTTCCCTTCTCATCACCCTTTTCATAATAACAACATTTGTTTCAACCCCATCAAACATTCTTGGTAGAAAAGTTGGGGCAAGAACTCTTATCAAGGATGTGAAAACAAATAAAAAAGTTCAAGACTTACCAGCAGATATTGCAAGAGGACAATATTGAGTTGTTGAACTTTGCTAAGGTCGTAAAAGCCGAAACAAGGGTTGTTTTTAGTATCAAATATTACCTTAAAGTCTCCGCAACTGTTTCCTCGACTATTCCGAAAACGTTTGATGCTGTATTGGTAATAAAACCTTGGGAGGAAAGTCAGTGAACCAGATTTTCTACGCAAAGACCTTCGATTAGCCGATGATATCGAAAGTGACAGCAAAATCAGTGAAGTTGAAATAAAAACAAATCTAAAAATGAAGTAGAGACAGAAAGAGGATGAGCACAGGGAAATGGAAGCAGATTAATTGCTGTGAGATAGAAAGAAATATGAAGTTGAAGCAGAGAAAAGAAAGAGGATGAGCAAAGGGAGGGATTAGTTGCTGGCAGTGAGAGTCCATATATCGCACCATCCGTCAAAGTGACCTTACGCGTATTAGCTGTTAGCAAAATTTACTAAAAGACTAAAGTAGCCCTTGGGAAGCAGGCATGACGACCCTGACCTGCTTCCAAGCGGCTTCTATATAGTAGTACATTTTCAAATTTAATGGAATATTTTCCGTAGGAATTTAGTTATCCACTAACAATGTGGAGCTTTTTACACGATTAACGTAGTTTAGCCTATTATAACATATTAATTACTATTTCTATCAGTTTATCAATAATATATTTATCATATAGATTTATCTATAAATACCTTATTAGCGATGTATAGATTTAAACTCTTTTCGGTATTTGATCGTAATGAATTGATGAAAATAGGTAAATATCTTAGGGAATGATTTAAATCATTGATAGATTGTTTTTACTCATAAGTATCTTAAATCTTAGCTTGCTCAATATCACCGGTTTCAATCGGCATGTAAATATAAAATTTTCAAACTTTTTATAATAAAAACCGTCATCAAAACACGGCACACCTCTTCTATGATACAATCTACAATTAGTATAAGTTACCTAGTTTTTATCCTACCAAACCCTTAATATATAACTTAAAAATAATTTTCTAAAGAAAGTATTTTGTTTCAAATTTTCATAAAAAAGCAAACATAATATATCATACCAAAACGTACCTAACATAATCAGTGTCAATAAAAAATGAAACAAGAAATTGAAGCCGTGGCACATTTGCTACGACAAAATTGGCCATAATTTGAAACCGCAAGAGTACGAATTAAGCGTTCCAAATAAAGTAGGCCAACGACTTCCGTTGCTAGTTGATCTAAAGGGAAAATATAAACGGTCATCCTAACATATATGTACTTTGTATACTTTTGAAGTATGCAATTTAAATTTTGAGTATCAACTGTTGTATATCAGTAAAGTTTATACAATGTAAATTATATACTTCGAAAGTAGACAAAATATAGGATAAAGTTTTAAGTGGCAAAATTTGTGAATAAGCACCGGTCGGTAATATTTTAGGCTGGTTGGATAATCATGAAAAAAATCCCTAAGAGCTAATCATAAAGCATAATCTTAAAGAAGGCAAGTTTAACCACATTTGCATAAACAATATGTAGAAATAATATGAGTTTATTATAATACAGTCAAACCTCTCTATAACAACCTTGTTTGTTCCGGATATTTTTAGATGTTACAGCGAATTGTTATTATAGAAAACATATATTATAATATAACATGAGATTTGGTTCTGGAAAATTTTGGCTTTTATAAAGAAATTTTGTTATATAAAAATGCTGTTATAAAGTGGTCTGACTGTATAACCCAAAATAAAAATAAAAATTCAAAGAGGCCTAATTTTGAGAAGGTCCAGTTAGTCCACGTTTTTATGAAAAAATGGGTGGAATGACCACTTTTTAGGGCTGCTATGAGTTTTTAGCCACTGTTTGGAATGTATTGGAATAATGGCCTCTTCTCTTTTATAATAAGATGGAGAGGACTATTCTACACTTTTACTATCATGTGTTGAGTTTACATTAATTTATATATTCCGATATCTGGAAAAAATGTCATTTATGAAGTGTGTCCAGCTTTTTGTACGATATTCACTTTCCGATTTGACCAATTTGGTCCTCAAAAATAGTTTTGTTAAAGAGTAAAACTAATTTCATATTATAATACTAGTTGTAGTTAGATGGTATCAAGTAAAACCTTTACCCATTACAGCAATAATTGGCCAGCAAATGATAACAATAATGTTGTAAATTATGTGAGAATATATTATTGTTCAGTTAATATTGGACCACAAATTTTTAAAGAAGTCAATCCAATTATGGATAGTAACATATTTTTTCTCTATCTTCTATCCTTGAGTTATTAATTTTAAAATCATAAACTCCATAACTTCATCCTTAAGTTCTGAATTAATGAACTATAAACTCCATAATTCTATCACTGGATTCTTAATATATTGAATAACCACGAACTCCATGATTCCATTCTTGAGTTCTCAATTGTAGAATTATTGAAAAAATAGTTGATAATATTGACCAAGAACAAGAAGGAAATAGAAATAACTTATCGAACAAATATTATGTCGTGGCAAGTCACTGTCTTGAAAGCGATTCGGCCCGACTAGGGTACAAATCGTTAAGACCGGTCGCTCTCCAAAGTTTTACGGCACCTCCAAACACGTGCACTCGTGGCTGAAAGTTTGGAGTTTGCATAAAACAATTACCTAGAAACTGACTTGAGAAGAAGAGATGAAAAAGTTTTTTTTTTGTTTGAAAACTTCACAAAACAAATCCTTATATAGGTAAGTTGCTGGAGCTGTTACAAGAAGGAGAATTAAGTAGGTGTTAGCCCCTCAGCTTGATTGATCGAACATGGCATGGGCGTGACGAAGGATTTACAAGATGGACCTCGGCACGGCCCTATAATGACTGAGGCATCATGTTGACAAGGTTGTCCGACATGAGCAGGTGTTGATGGGCATGGATTGTGGCACGATAGCATGTGGCTTAGGTGCTAAGGCATGATAAGACCATAGCATTGGTGTGGCCATGGCACGGCAAAGACAACAGGCAGCAAAAGCATAGTAAGGGTTGGAAAAACTAAGGCAAACTAAGACGGGGCGTGGCAAGGCAGATGGGCACGGGCAAGGCAGTGTCATGGATGAGCTGGGCATGTGAAATTCGTAGACATGCGTGCAAGGCATGTTGCACATTAGCATGGCACGAAGGCATGACAAGGTTGGGCTTATTGGCGCCACAATTTGAAGGTTGCACCCATGTGCCACGCACATGCAGGGCAGTTGGGTAGTTTCCTGTTTTTCAGCATAAGTGGCTATGTGGAACTGTGGGCAATTATCTGGTTTGAATTTCGAAATTTGAATTCCTTTGTTGTTGGGGATGTCAACTGCTAGGATAGGATAAGGCTGAGAGCCAAAAACGTTTGCCTAACTATTCTTAGTCTAGGCAGACTTGTCAAGGCAGAGTTGGCTGTCTTTGGCTTCTTTTTGTAAGGCTTTTGTATGTGTTTCTTTGTAGCACGAGTTTAATACAAAGTTGGAAAGTGATTCCTATAAACTGTTCCTTGTGTGATTTCTATTGCCTTTTATATTCTAAGTGTCAAACCAAAACATGAAGGAAAAAGGAAGAGGGCTGAGTCATTGTTGTGTGACTGTCGTACAGTGTCAAAACGAAAAAAAATTGACCCTGTAACAACTGGTATCAGAGCAACGTCGGCAAGATCTTGGAATTATCATGGCTGAAAAAGCAAAAATTCATGAAAGACTTCAGAAGTTGGAGACGTTGGTTGGCATAACTGATGACGCAATAAATCTGGTGGATATTCTGACGCAAATCCATAGCGTTAACACAGAATTTCAAAACGTTCGTGAGAGTGTTGATATCCAACCGGTAGAATTGCAGGCTTTCGAGGAAACTGCTGCAAAGCAGTTGGAAAAATTACAGAAGGAGAATGAGGATCTTAAAACAGTAATTCAGATCCTCCAATGGGTTGTTGCAAATGTGCCCCAAGGAGGTGAAGAACAAACCAAAATTAAGATTCCAGAGCCAAAGGCATTTGTTGGCGTGAGAAGCGCCAAGGAACTGGAAAACTTCTTATTAGACTTGGAGCATTACTTCTCTACTGCTCACGTCCCGGAGAAGGACAAACTGACCATGGTGGTGTGTTATTTCAAAGGAGACATAGTGCTGTGGTGACGTACGAAAAATGCAGACGATGAAAGTGTTGGCAGGCCCAAGGTTGATACTTGGGAGAAACTTCATGACGCGCTGAGGGATAAGTTCTTTCCTAGTAACTCGTCTTGGGTTGCTAGGGATCGCTTGAAGCGGTTGAGACAGACTGGTTCCAATCGGGACTATGTGAAAGATTTTTCATCCTTGTTACTGGACATTCAAAACATGTCGGATGAGGATAAATTGCACAATTTCATTTTCGGAATAAAAGGCTGGGAACAAAATGAAATTCATAGGCAAAAAGTTAAATATCTGCCTAGTGCAATTGCGGCAGCGAACGCATTGGTGGATTTTTGCTCAACAGGTCTAACTTCTGATCCTGCCTTTTCTTCTAAGTCAAAGAAAAAGGAGAAGAGTAAGGATTGGAAGAAGGACAATCGGAAACAAGATGGAAATGACATAGGCAAAGGCAAGATGGATGCTTCTTCATCAAAAACAAACAGGCCAATGGGTGGTGAAAAGGTTTGTTGGACATGGAAAAAACCTGGACATCATGCACGAAACTGTCCAACGCAGGGAAGATAAATGCTCTTCTTGCTGAAGAGGAGAAACAAGGAAAGGGACAAGAAGTTGCTGCCTATGTGAATCCGTTGCGGCTGTTGAACACTTTGGCTTGTGTGACTGTGGCGGATGATAAAGAAAATGATGCCAAGGAAGAAGTTGCATATGTGAATGCTACGAGGGATGATTTGGCTGATGCTTATTCCACATTAATATATGTGGATCTGAAAATTGGAAACAGGAGTGTCGTGACAATGGTTGATACCAGAGTCACACACACCTTTGTTGCCTCTAGAATTGTTCAAAAGTATGGGCTGCAAGTGACAAAGTGTTCGGCGAAGAAGAAGGCTGTGAACTCAAAGGCGCAACCTGGTTATGGGGTGGCGCTAGATGTCCCGAAGATATTGGGCCATTGGTCTTGAAAGTTCAACAAGACTGTTGTACCATTGGATGACTTCAATGTGTTGTTGGGAATTGATTTTTTGAAGAAGAGTAAAGTTGCTCCAATTCCTCATTTGGATGGACTTATGTTCATGGGGGTGACAATCCCCGGCTTTGTGATAGGTATTCGGCCCTACAGGGATGAAATAAAGAACGCTGGGATTGCTGCTTTGATTTCTGCCATTGCATTTGAGAAAGTCTTGAAGAGTGGTGAGGAGACTTACCTCACTGCACTCGTTGAAGTCAAGTCAGATGTGCAGATTGAGGTACCAGATTGTGTTGAAGATTTGCTGAAGGAATTCAAAGATGTGATGCCTCCAGAATTGCCAAGGGAG